ATCATGATTTCGAGGATCAATAGATCTGTCCTTTACAACACAAGCAGTGATCTCAGATCAGCTCATCCAGACATTTTAATCTGATCCAGGATCTGCCAAATCATCTTAGATTATTTAAGCGAGGTACGAAGAACGGACCCCTGCTTTCTGGAACCGTTTTTTACCAGACTCAAACCCTGTCGTAGTGGTCAACTCCTCTCTGTGTCTCAAGTCTGCATGTCGACATACATGGCGAGCTACTGGACAAACTGGTAACAGCGGCAAAGCCGTCCACATGGAGGTAATCGGTCAGCTGGTAAGTGTAAAAAGTCCATACCGCCCTATAGCGTTCATTTGAATCTGATCTGCAGAAATCTACTCTATATAGGGCTTCGTTTTTAAGAATGAGTCCATGTTGGATAAACCAGAGTTAAGTTATATTTAAACACATTTTCACACATGGCTGGTGAGTTTTGTATTTTGTTTTTCCTTAATGATAAAAACCTTTATTTTTATGATGTGCTTACTTTGTTTTTTTGACTAATCATTACATTTGATTGATGATCTGAAACATAAAGAAATCAGTAAGGGGGTAAACACTTTTTCACACTGTATTTATTTACGGTGTATTGTCTGTAATCAAGTCCCACAATGAAAAGCATTTTCTGCTTTTAAGATTTTTTTACCAACCCCAAAAAGGCTGTCTAAAGTCATTAACAAGCGCACATGTTTTGCTAAGGGTGAGTAATAGCTGTGTTCCAACACACTTTAGCCCTTTGTTTACGTGCCGAAATAAGGATAATAAACCGTTTGCTCATGCACGAGGTTAAGGGTTAAGAATAAACATCTCAAAGCCGACAGGTTAGTGCGCCCTCAAGCAAATCATTATTGCATGACATGTAATGGCGCGCAGAACATTAATCACTCTACGGGACAGCACAAACCCGGAGGAACTGCATTTCTGAGTTCCCCTATTGCAGGCTTATTGAGGTAGTGCTTGCAGCAACTCTGTGAGGAGGAGGAGATGCTTTTAGGTGTCATAAAAATGACATGTTTCTGAAATCGTCTTCATACTTCAGAATCCATGAGCTGAAGGGGCTGTCTCAAAATCTAGGAGAAGGCTTTCTGTGGAGTTCATCTTTATTTCTATAGCACTTTTACAATGTAGATTGTGTCAAAGCAGATTAACATAGAAGATTATAATGAGTTGAAACTGTGTCAGTCCAGTTTTCAGAGTTGAAGTTGAGTTTAGTTCAAAGTTTTTAATTTTCACTGCTGAAAGTCCAAACAATGAAGAGCAAATCCACGAATGTGCAAGTCCTGAACCATGCAAAGCCAGTGGAGACAGCGACGAGGAACAAACTTCACCAATTGACGAAAGTGAAGGAAAAAAAAAAACCTTGAGAGAAACACTGCAACAAATGCTTTTCTTACTTAGAATTTTGGTCTGGTTTCTAGTCCAAATATCTAAAAGTTCTTAAATCAAGAAGCATTTTCCAGACAAGCAGAACATATTGTTTTGTTTTAAGAAATAATATGCCAAAATTAAGTAGGTTTTTCCCTAAAAGAAGCAAAATAATCTGCCAAAGGGCGGGGCCAGACCGACTCTGCGGACGTTTTTTGCTATTTCTGCAGAGAATTTTTGTAAAAATCTGCGGATTTCTGCAGAATTATTTTGGGAGTATTCAGTGGAGTATCATAACCAAAACCTTAATAAATTAAATAAAAAGTAATAAATTACTGAATAAAATCTGAATAAATTCAGATTTATACATTTACTCAAGTAAATAAACAGAATTAATAACAGGCAAAAAATCTGCAGAAATATGCGGAATTCTGTGGAAAATCTGCGGAAGTCTGTGGAAAATCTGCAGAATTCTGCGCGCGCAGATTCCGTGTGGCCCTACCAATGGGGCAAGCAAAATAATATTGTTTTTCCTTTCAACATAAGATTATTTTGCTTACCCCTTGCTTATTTTGTCTTTCTATTTTTGTTTGAGGAACATTGTTTATAAACATTTCAATTATTTTCTTACGCATTTATTAGCAAACTGGCGATCCTAGGCCCATCTTTGCTCCTAAAGGACTAGACCTTTCGTGAGGTGGTTTTTAATTGGCAAACAATATAAATATGACATGCATAAACATTAGCTGAGCAGCTTACTTTTTTAAGGCAACGTCAAGAGGCGTGCAGTTTCTGTTTGTGTCGTCAATCTGGCAACCTGGATTGCTTCAAGTCTTCAGAAAAGAGACAGAATGATAAACAAACCCTCTCCAATCTTTTGAATTTGGACCGCAATGCCTCAGTCCTACATACTGCACCTTTAAATTATGATTGATAACTAGTTTTAAAATGCACCTTTGAGGCATGATTTTGTTTTACTCTCAAGTTAATGCACTTGAACTAATCTTTTTAGATGCTGAGAAACATATATATATATATATATATATATATATATATATATATATATATATATATATATATATATATATATATATATATATATATATATATATATATATATATATATATATATATATATATATATATATATATATATATATAAAGATAT